TGTATTTACAAATATTTATACTATTTTATTTGGTCTGAAATAGCGATATGTATTAAAATTTTTGCCAATTTTTATTACAGTAATACAGATCACGCGAAATTAGATATGTGGTGTCACTCTGCAGAATCATTTCTCATAGTCGATTTTTTATTAACGAATATTACGAATAATGACTAGACCCTTTTTCTTACTTTATACGATCTCACAAAAAGAATAGGACTTAAAAAGGCTATAAGGGTAATAAGTATAACATTCTTTATCAGTAGTTTTATCCAAATTCATATGTTGCAGGGTTTTGGAATTCCAGATCGTCGAGATCGTTAACTTTTTTACTTCGTAGTAGTGATCGTCAAATCTAAAGGGGTTAATTTTACCAAAAAAAAATAACAAAATAGATTCAGCATTTGGAAGTTATGACCGAATAGACTTGCTTTATATGGTGTGATCTAGATTGAGTTACCTTAACTCAATTACTAATCATATAACTTTTTTTCTGGCAAGTCTTTTAGATCTTGTGAATGGGCGGTATAAAAATAAGCATTTTTTTTGTTTCTTGTAGATGGGTTATAATAATATTTTTTGCTCGTATATTTTTTACCTGACTATATTTTTTTTAAAAACAGTAATGTAATATTTTATTTAACGGAGATTACGAAAGTGAATTTTTACTTATTATATTTTTTATTTAGAACGAAAAATGAGCAGTAATAAAAAAACCGCCACCACCAAGACTAATGATACCAACACCACCCCAAGACTAATGACACTACTACCACAAGTAATAATAACACCACCACTTCCACGACTAATGACAATAACCTCTTCGAGAACTATTATGTCCCCCAAACACTACCCAATCCAAGACCTAGCCAAAGGACATCTAATTCCAATTGTTAATATAGAAGTAGAAGAAACAGATATGGTAGGAGGTAACTTTTATTAGAAAGCACTCTTTATATATTTGTGAAACTAAGGCTAAAACTCATTTTATCAGGCCATGTCTGTGCATTAAATTAGACGATTCAACCTATGACCCCAGAGAAGATGATGACTATAACGTTGATGAAGGCAGACCCTTGGACAATTTTTCAGAAGAAAATTCAGAATGGTGTGAGGAAAATGATTTTAATGAGTATGAGAATCCTGGACAATAACAAGAAAGGCTAAATCAAAATTAATAAATAGTTTATATTTTTGTCTGCAGTATGCAACTGTGGTGTATTTTTTTTATTTGTATACCGTTTCAGCAATTTTTTTATAAAATAAAAAAGGGGTTCAGTAGACTCGCCATTTTTTTTAACTAATCATGTGAATGGGCTCTACTTATTAACCTATACTTTTACTGTTACTATTGGGATTGAATTCTGATATTTATTTATATAACAATAGAGATAATAAGTTTTGTATTGACATAATCGCCACTCCTCCATAAATCCTCTATATTATTTCTTATATTTTCTTTTTTATGGTCTTTATTGCATATAGGACAGAGTACAGATCTATTAAAATCAAAATAATTACTATATTTAAAACTATGTTTCAAAGTTAAATAAGGAAATCGCTCTAATACTATTTTAATAACATGTTTTTGTTTTACTTCCGGGTCTTTAGGTAAAATAGAAATTGATGGTTGAAGTTTGGATAGTGTAGGCTGAACATTTATCTGCGGTACAAATAACGTCTTTTTTTCGGCATCCTTTTCGATTTGTGGTGACTCAAAGGTTTTAGAGTTTATCCAGGGATCGAATCCAGTTTTATTCTTATACCTTTTATATAACCTAGAACGAATTTTATCTGTTAAAATATCTGGAAATTCTGTTAATTTAGCTTCCCATTCCAAATATTCAGGAGTCAATGTTTTATTAGCTTTTGCTTGTGTATCCATGTTTCTGTTTTATATATATGACTGCATATCTTTCTAAATTAACAATAACTAACAAAAAAATAAATATGCCTCAGAAGACTTAAGTGAATTGTGCTAGTATAAGTTTAAAGTTTATGCTGTTATCTCAATTTCAATTCTACACTGTTCACATTTAATATAGTAGGATCCAACTTCATATCTGCCTCCTATACCATTATTATCATCATGATCTAATTTGCATAGCAGGCATAAAGATTCATCTGTAATTCCATAATAATCATCATTTCCATTACTATCTTCTTGATATAAATTAGAATACTGATCCAATGCTTTATTACAGAAATAAGCATGGCTATGAGCTAGATTAGATGATATACTTACTTTAGTCTTCAGTAAAGATTTCTTATCCTTACTTATCATATATTCTGAATTAGAGATATGAGATAATTCAGTAGGTATATTTACCTGGATTTCTGATATGTCTGAATCTTGATTATAGGAAGATTCAAAGTCGGTCATGTGAGAGCGTGAAATTTTTTTACACAGTGGGAGGTTAGTACCACATTTTTTTGTAATACGACTCACTTCATATATGATTGTATCAATTTGTATGTCAGTTAATTTTGAAAGTTTATTTGCGCTATAAGTTTTAATTTGCAAAATTTTATCTTTTCCAATTTTATTAAACAACTTATATATAGGTTTAGTTAGTTGTATTTTTTTACGCAAATTTACTCAGGAGATACCTGAAAGATAATATAACATTTCATCATAAATTTGACTACTCGCTAACTCATATACTTTTGTTTTGTAATATTTTTATATTTTTTCAGAATCTCAGGTAAAATTTCACGATGTCTTTTTTCGAAGAACTTTCTATACGAATACCAACTAGCAATTTCCTCTTGCTTAGCTCGTATAGTATTGAATTCTGCAAAACATATTCTTTCAAATAGATGTACCAATTTGATTGCAGATGATTGATTACCAGTAGAATTTTTATCTATATTAATAGTTTTAACGTAAACTTCTTCCAAAGGAACCATTTTTAATTCTTGTATTAAAGGGTGTATGTCTATTTTGGAAGTTTGCATTTTTTGTAAATCAGTATTTTGCTCTAAAGAGGACTATTCTGATAAATTAGAGCTAGAGTCTTGAAATTTCTTTTCCCGTTTTCTTTTTTTTATTGTGTTACTAATATTTTCTTTTCTCTGCATTTCCAAGAAATCATCTATATCTTTATTTTTTAACAATTTGGTCTCTGTATTGATAGGTAATGCAGAGATTCGAGACTTCATCTCTTCCTGATGTATATCAAAATTTGAAGTGTTGTCAGATATATCAGATGCTGGAGCATCCTCATTTTGCAAAACTGTCTGCTCATAAGTATCGCTAGAATTTGTTTCAGGGAGAATAGGATATGCAGAAGATTGGCTATCCTTTTTCTGGCATATATCAAAATTGGATATATTGTCAAAACTATTTTCTATCTGTTTAGAAGTATCACCAGAGTTCATTATGTCTGTATAAATAGTGCTTTGTTTCTCACAAGGGGTAATATTAACTGAGGAATGATTGATTTTCTTAGTATCATCTGTTAATAATTTGAAGTTAGTATCAATGTACTGGTTTATAACAAGATCGAGTCTATTAATGATATTCTTAGAAGAATTAACTCTGACGTCTAATTTATCTACAGTATTGTTTTGCAACTGCATCTATTCTAATTTCGAAATTCTGGATCTAAGCTCATTGATTTCAGCATCTCTTAACTTCGTGTTATTTTCATTCTCTTTTGCAGATTGTTCCAATTCTATGATTCTGGCCAAAAGCTCCATTTTCTTAACCAAGAAATCAGCATTTTTATTTCTAAGCGAAGCATTTTTAGCTTCAAC